CAGCTGTGTGCCAGCGTGTCTCTGCAGTAGCCTGTCCCTGTTGCGGTCGCTCACCTGTGACCCGCAGCTGTGTGCGTGCCTGTCTCAGCCTCTGGAGGTCCTCCTCAGGGTCCATGGTGTGGGTGTCCAGGGGTAGGTCAGTCTGGTTCAGGAGGCGGGGGCTGTAACGTCCAGAGTCATACTCCGCCAGGCTCTGCTGGATCAAATCCTCTTCTGTCAGCACGGCTTCGCCGGCTGGCCTGGCCTCGCCCGCTTCGCCCTCCTCCCCTGACTCTGACCTGCCTGCCTCACCTCCCTCCTCCCTCGGCCCGGAGGGAGAGGAGCAGGAGGCTGTGTTCCCAGGTTCCTCTGCACCACCGGCCTCGCCTGGGGTCCTGCGCACAGAGACTCCAGTCAGCCCTGCTGCTCAGGAAGACGACACACGGGCACAAACTGTCTGCAGTGCACCGACAGCAGCACACTGTTAGCAGTCCAAACTGCAATCAGATACAACACTGAGAACTGAACCCAGAAGCCTGAAGGACCTGCTCCGGCGAGGACAGAGCGCTGTTACTCACGCTGGCTCGGGGGAAGGCAGCTCCTGCTTCACAATGGGGAAGAGCGGCTCGCTCTCCACACCCTGCTCCTGCTTCAGCTTGTACAGCTTCTGCCTCAGGACCTCCTGGTGCCTCTCTCTCAGGCTGGGGCAGGGAGACACAAGCAAGTGCTCTGGGTCAGTACAGCAGGAACGGCCCTCGTGCCCCCTGGCCCCGGCCCTCAGGCCCCCCGGCCCCTCACTCACCGCGCTCTGGCCATGTATACCCTGACCTGCTGCAGCAGGCTCTCCCAGTAGCCGATGTCGAGGTTGGAGCCCCCAGCCGCGATCTTGCTCTCGATGTTCATCTGCAGCGCCTGCAGCTGGCTGAAGGTTTTGCCCTTGAACACGCTCTGCACGTCCGCGCTCACGGACACGTTGATGCCCTCACGGCGGTCGCCTGGCCTCGGAGAGAGAGACACACAGCGTCAGACGCACCTGCACACTTCACTGGTCTGTCGCGACTGCTTACAGGTACAGGTGCTTTAGCAACAGTGTGCGTCCTTGCAAGACACTTGTCACCAGGCAGAGACAAGGGCAGGCAGGGACATAACAACAGGCAGAATCATGACTGTTGGAGGCACTCAGACACCTTCACAGCAACTGGGGGGTATCGCTGCTTCAGGAGGGGGGGCTTTAGTCAGCCAAGGGCTTCTGGGCTCCTGCTGGTGCCTGCAGCAGCTCAGCGGAACAGGTGGACTTGTCGAGGAGCAGTGTGTCTGTCCTCCTCTGCAGTGTAGGGCTGTTGAAACAGAGAGAGCTCTCACCCGGGCCCTTGCCCGACGCCTCCAGTTTGCGCAGCTTGCTGATCTCGTCCTCCGTGATGATCGTCATGTCGCGCCAGAAGTCCACATTCTTGCCCTGCTCCAGCTCCATGTACACCTGGAAGAGACGACAGTCAGTCAGGGAGCCAGAGGCGGAGTCTCGTGCGCGCGGGCGGCCGGACACAGACGGACCTTGATGTCCTCCAGGAGGTCGTCCATGTCGCTGACCGTCAGCCCGTTCAGGAAGGTGTAGGGCTCGTGCATCTCCACGGCCAGGTCGTCGTCCTCGGCGCTGATGTACTTGGCCAGCAGGTCGATGGGCTTGGCGCGCCCGTCCCGGATCCGAATCTTCGAGCTGCGAGCACAGGACAGGCGAGCTCATGACACGAGCTCCCAAACAGGGGCGTTCAGCCGGAGAGACTGACCGACAGGACAAGCTAGCCAGCCCTCAGCTAAGTGGACTACTGTGCGTGTTACTGTTCAACCACAAACAAAAGTAATTTGGGCCTGAAAATATGTTTTCTGGATTTTTTTTAACTTATATTAACAGTTAACAATAAACACAATGAAAATTGTCCCCGTGTCTTTTTACCATAAATGCACAAGCTGTTTATTTCACGTGTGGTAAATATACTGTATAAAATGAGCTAAAGCTCACAAAACTCTAACACCCTACATAAGCAACTGACCTACCCCTACTGAGCATCAGTGATGTTCCTGAACTTTAATATATATTATTTTGATTTTACATTCTGTTATTGTTTGTACATTTCTCTATTCTTACGGGGAAAGACTAGCATTTCTTTATTTCAGACGGTAAGCTTTAGTGCATTTTGCCTATTATATCTGAAGTCCCTTAAAGCAAAGACCTTAAAAGCAAGGGATTACTGAATTTAATTTACAAAGACCAGAACTGTGAAATACGCAGCAATCAGTCACTGCCTCAGGGGCAGTATTTCTGTGTGTAATTATATTACAAACAGCCCTATGCTTGGGAGAAGGTTACAATGCATTTTAATCATTCAAAGATACATGGAAAACATGCAATTCTAGATACTGAGGGCTTGCAGTTCTGGATACTGGGAATCGCTACATGAACTGTGATCTTTACTGGTTACTAAATTCACTCAAGACAGTCAGACACAACCTAGGCTTGCTAAGCTACAGCACTGTGTGGCACAGTGCTGGGCGTGGCCGCACAGCGCTCAGCTCACCGCAGCTTGGCCTGCTGCAGATGGAAGTTGTCCTCTTGCTCCGCCCAGGTCTTGAAATGCTCCGCCTCCTTCTCCCGCTGCAGCATCTCCAGCTCCTGCTCCCGCATGGCCTTCTCCCGCTCGCGCTCCAGACGGAGCTGCTTCACCTGGGGACCCAGAGAGACAGAAACTCACACCTCGCTGAGACTCCGACGTCAGAGACACTGGATCAATTCAAGGTGCTTTATTGGCATTACCAATGAGTAAAATCAGTGTTGCTAAAGCAAAACAAATACAATTAACAAAAAACAAACATCTACACACATTTACAATAAAGACACAATCATAAGATACTATATATAAACAAGAGGAGCATTACTGGGAGACAGGCTCACTGTTCCTCAGGCTGTGACAGAAGATCACATACTGGGCTGCCAGTTCAACTGAGTTCCCTCCTCCCTCTCCCAGTAGGATTCTGGCAGGTGTGGGAACTCTGGGATTAGATTTCTGAATTTAGGGAAGAATGTTTCTTTAATCCCTGAGTATCTGTCACAGGGCATCAGGAAGTGCTCCTCTGTCTCTATTTCTCCCCGTTGGCAGTGGGAGCACAGCCTGTCCTCTCTGGGCAGCCAGGTCTGCCTCTGTCCAGTTTCTATTGCCAGGCTGTGGTCAATGAGCCTGTACTTCATCAGGGTCTGTCTGTCAAATATTCAGCTAGTGTGTATCGTCTATTTAGGATTCTGTAGCATTCCAGTTTATGCAGTGTTTGTGTGTGAGTGTCCCAGTGTGTGAGATATTGCCGTTTGATCTGAGTTGTGCTCTAGCAGTGCTGTCCTGAGGCTGGCTGGTGTTGGTGTGGCTCTGGCCAGTGAGCCTCAGGACTAGCTGGCTCAGGGGGCTCTTTGTTGGGCTCAGCTCTTGACTCAGCAGGGCCTTGTGGTGGTAGGAGTTTTGGGCACTGTTTTTTAGGTGTAGCCAGTACTTTATTACTCTCTTGTGTATGTTTATCAATAATGGGTATTGGCCTAATTCGGCCCTGCACCCACTGTTAGGTGTTTTTCTCTGTAAATGGAGAATGTTTCAACAGATCTCCATGTGCAGAGTTTCTATGGGGTGTTTGTCCCATTTAATGTAATCCTGCTCTGTGAGGGGACCACACACTGCACTGCCCTATAGGGCAATGGGTTGGATTACACTTTCAAATATTTTGAGCCAGATTCTTATTGGTGGGTTGATGTCGAAAAGCCTTCCCTCTCAGTGCCTTTACTGCCAGGTAAAAACTCCCAAATGAGCAGATAGTCAGACCAAGGTATGTGTAGATGGATGTGTGCTTCAATGTGTTGTTTAGAGTGAAGTGGTACTTGTTTCCCCAAGGTCTGTCTTTTTTCTGGAAACCCATGACTCTGGTCTTGTCCAGATTGACTGTCAGCGCCGAGGTGAGACAGTACAGCTCCAGCAGTGCCAATGGTCATCTGCACAGAGCAGGAACTTGATCCGTATGAGACCAGGAGCTGCAAACTGCAGATTTTTCCTTTGTCTTTTTGGTGGACATGTTTTTTTTATTAGTGTGCGTAGGGTGTAAATATGATCAGACATGCAGTGATCTAGTAAGAAGCCAATCTGACTTTTACACAGTTGTGTTAGGTAAGGAAGGTCAGTATTTGCATATTCAGGCTACTACAAAATACCTTCCCTAGGTTACTGTTCACAAGATGCCCTGGTAGTTATTGGGATCAAGTCTGTCTCCACTCTTATAGATGGGCGTGATCAGTCCTTGGTTCCAGACCTCGTGGAAACATCCGACTTTCATGATGAGATTGAGGAGTTTAAGCAGGGCTTGTTGCAACTTCGAGCTGCTGTGTCTCAGCATCTCATTGTTGACTCCATCCTGGCCACAGGCTTTGCGTGGTCCGAGGGCCTGGAGTTTGTCCAGTAGCTCCTGCTCTGTAATCAGGGGGTCCAGGGGGTTTCGGTTGTCTTTAATAGCCAATTCCAAAATTGAGAATTTTTCATAAATGATGTTTTGGTCCAATTTATTTGTACTTGGAAGCATTTGGTACAGATTTTCAAAGTATGTTTGCTTGATTGTTCCATTTTGGATGGCCAACTCTTCTGGTTTTCATTTATTTAAAGCAGGGCTACCATACATCCAGATTTTCCCGGATATGTCCTCTATTTTGATCCTTATATCTCCGTCCAGGGGGAATTTTCAAATATCCAGAAATGTCCGGGATTTCGACACCATTATTTTCAGCATGAAGAATAATTAACAAAAGTTATAAAGACAGAAGAGAGAGAATTTCTTAACTTCTCTAGTTCGCTTTGCAACCTACGTTATCATTCAGTTTTCGTCCTGTATGTGTGTGTATGATTATGTCATGAGATAGCAAAATCAGGTGTTAATGCCAGTATGCAGAAGCATTCCCTCAAAAGGCTCCCTATTTAGTTTCTCGTTCTCCTACCCTCAAAACACAATGCCAAAGCGAAAGTATAAATTCACAGCAGAACTAAAAAATACATTTCTGTGTTTTCGAAGTGACAGAGAAGACTTGGAAGCTGAATATTTGGTGTGTAAGCCTGGTACTTTTCTCTCCATGGCAAATAAAGGTGTACTTGACTTGCAAGCTCATGTTGACTCAAACACAAAAAGGCCATTCGAGGAGAGAGTTCGTTAACCAATACTTTGTCAAATCTGGCACCAAAACAGACAATACTGTTACTGCAGCAGAGGGGACTTGTGCATTTCACACAGTTAAACACCATGGGGGTAATCAACCACAACTAAGAAAAATCCAATCTGCAGAGAAATATGCTTGGTCACATCAACAGAAAGAAAGGTAAAGTTCGACACCGCTAAGGAGGTAAGCCAGATAAAAATCTTAGTAATTATTAGATATTATTATTAACAGGCACAGAATGTTTCTGTGCCAATACCTGATATGCAGGTACATTTACTACAGAACATTAAAAACGGGATATTCTGAAAACCCTCTCCATCCCGACCCCCTTCCCAGGTAAGGCAATGGGAAAGTTCCTCAGGCTGCCCTCTTTTTTTGATGTTCAAACATGGCAACCCTATTTAAATTGTTCCACTTCTCCCAGAAACAGTTCTGATTTAGTGTCTCCTCAATTTCTGCAAGTTGTTTTGTATGTATGTGTTTCTTTTCTTTTTCAGCGTGTGTTTGTAAAGTTTTACCATTTTAGACCGAGTTTTCGCAGTGCTTTCTGATGTTTTTGCACTCTATATCAAACCACTTTTCTTTTGCTTTAGTTTTTTGGTAGTTTTTTTATTTTGTTTTTAGCTTAATTTTTTTTGTTTGTCCAAGTTTTACTTAATTTGTTGGTTTGATACGGAATGTTTAGGAGTGTGTCCAATAGTGTCTGAATTTCTTCATCATGCAGTATAGATTGATATCTGTCCAGGCTGTCTGTGTCCCTTCTGCCTGGTTGAGGTCGTACAGCAGGCTGGGCTGTGTCAGTGTGTCTCTGTGCTGGTGTGCTCTCTTCATGTAGAGTGTGGTCTGACTGTGGTCGGAGAGGGGAGTTTGTGGCCTGACAGGAAAGGCACTGATACAGGAGGGGTCCAGGTCAGTGATGGCATAGTCCACCACACTGCTGCCCAGAGCTGAGTTGTAGGTGAACCTACCTGGAGAGTCCCCTCTAGTCCTGCTGTCGACGATGTACAGGCCCAGCCCTTGACAGAGCTGGAGCAGCTCGCGCCCGGTGCTGTTGACCGTGGTGTCATGGCTGCACCTGTGTGAGGTGACCGGTGTGTGGTACAGAGGGGATTGTCCGAATATATCATGAGTGTTTCCCTGTGTGCTGGTGAAGTCTGCCAGCCTGCCTGTTTGTGTGGTGAGGTCACCAAAGAGCAGCACGTTTCCCTTGCCCTGGAAATGACAGATCTCAGTGTGGAGACTGGGGAGAATTCCCTCACTATAGTAAGGGGATTCTGAGGGCGGGATGTAGACAGCACACAAGAAAACCTCATTTTCTGTACAGATGATATTTCCTTTGATTTTGAACCAAACGCGTGACACTCGTCACTCGTGTACTGAGTGACTGAGTATTGAATCACCCTGACATCACAGACACCAATACAGGAGACACTGACCCTGACAATACAGGAGACACCTGCAGAGCCTCCAATATCAGAGCCACTGATACATGAGACACAGCTACAGAGGTGAGAAACTATAACTTACTTGTTTTTTCAGTACTGCACTTGATCCTTCAAACTAATGAAGTCCTTGAACAGAACTAGAAAAACAGTCCACATATCCCACTGACCCCACTGTACCTTCTGCAGTTCCCTCCTGTTTTCCTCCTGGATGCGCTTGTTTCTCTCCTTCAGTTCCTTCTCTCCCAGGTGACCAATCCCTTTCTTCTCCAGGGCCTGAGCAGCAGAAACACAGCACAAACAGCACTCAGACAGCAGCACCGCTGACATAAGTCATGTTGCCAACTCGCCAATACCCCCTCAACACTTTCTAATGCCCCCCTGTCTCTCCCCCCACCTCTGTCCCTGCAGTACCCCATTATCCCCCTGTCTCCCTCTCTCTCTGTCCCTCCCAGTACCCCATTATCCCCATCTCCCTTTCTCTCTGTCCCTCCCAGTACTCCATTATCTCCCTGTCCCCCATGCACCCCATTATCCCCCTGTCCCCCTCTCTCCCCACCTTCTGCCACTTGAAGGTGCCGAGCAGGTTGTTGTCTCCGAAGGGGTTGTCTGCGTTGGTGTAGCCCATGTACTCCTCACTCCAGCCCATCTTCTCTCTCTTCTTCCTCTCCTTGGCCTCCTTCTTGGCCAGGCGGCGGGCTCTCTTCTCCTCCGGCGTCTCCAGCGCCTTCATCATTTCCCTCTGCTTCCTGCGCTCCTCCCGGACTTCCCGGTGCTCCTGCGCTGCCGCCCCGGCGCCCTGGCGCTCGGGGGACCCCGAGGAGAGCGAGGAGACAGACGAGCGGGAGAGAGAGCGCTGGCCCCTGTCCCTCTCCCTGCTCCCCCGGCCCGGGCTCCCCCCTCTCCCCATCTCCCTGCTCCCCCGGCCCGGGCTCCCCCCTCTCCCCATCTCCCTGCTCCCCCGGCCCGGGCTCCCCCCTCTCCCCATCTCCCTGCTCCGCCCGGAGTCCCGCTCCGAGGACGAGGAGCTGCTCCTCTCCCTCTGCCTGGGTCCCTTCTTCTCCTTCTTCTTCCTCCTTCTCCCCTCTCTCGCTCCCCTGGAGCCGGAGCTGCAGAGGAATGGAATCACAGGCTGAACACGCCGCACCGGAGCAGCTGAGCTACGCGCAACGAATACTTTCACAATCACAAGAGTCCGCCTGCCCTTCTGTCTAGATTTAGAATATATAAGCAGCTCTGTTTCTTAAAGCTTTAGCTCTTGCACAAGGCGTGACATGATCCTTCACTACCTGACCAGAGAGGGTCGCTGTAATCTGGGTCTGTCGTCTCCTGACCCTTAGTGTGATTATTACTTGTGTACCGACAAGCCAACGTCCGCGCTGGCCAGTGACTGCGCCTTCCACTGACGTGCGTGTAAGGCTGTTCCAGGGCCTCCCGCAGCTCTGGTCCGGAGCACATACCTTGATCTGTCCCTGGCTGTTGATCCGCTGCTCTCCCGACGGCCTCTTCCCTCGCTGCTGGAGCCGGATCTGGATCGGGAGGACCGTCCAGAACCAGAGACGCTCCGAGACCTTTCTCTGCTCCTGCGGGAGGCAGACCGGGCCCGCCTCGACGCCACCTTGATTTCCGACCCGCCTCGCCGCTTCGAGCCCGACCTGCTGCGAGTCCGGACTCTCCTCCTCTCGGGGGAACGACTCCTGCTTCGGCGGGTCTGGTACCGATCCCGAACTCGGGTCCGAGACCCCGACCTAGACCGGTGGCGAGACTTCGATCCCATGTCGATTGTATCTCACGATTACGGGTCCTTGCGGTTACGCGTCGCATAAATAGTCTGTCTGAGTCAGACGCTTTAAAGGAGAAATTTACAGTTTGTTGACGTTTTCAAAGAAATAAACGAAATAACTGGCCATTATACGGAAACATTACTGTAAAGTAAGTTGTGAATTAAATTTTAAAAGCACTGTTGTTTTTCTACGCTTCAATTTTAAGTTAGGCGAAACTGTAGACAGCCCTTCTCGACAGCCTCGGTCTTGTCTCGGTACCCGTCGCGCTAGTGTGATACTCGAGAGATTTGAATATGGTATAGGTTATAGTCACTATTAAAGCTTGTTATTATTCGGGTTTGAAAAATCGCAGTTAGTTTGGTCGTTTTTTCTAAAGAGTTTTTTTTCTGTGTTGTTTGTCTTTTTTAATGCCAGAGGTATTTGTACTGTAATATAGTTCAAAGAAAGGCGATTTTTCTGTTTTGGATCATTTTTTACAAAAGATGCACTCAAGTCAGTCTGATTTTCAGTTTTGGAAGAGTCAATGGGGAGATGACATCTGGATTTCTAGTGTTATTAATCATTCAGCGGGCGTTGCCATCTCAAAGGGGAACTTTAAGGGGAAAATTCCTTATTATAACTGACATCACTCTGGGCGGTGGATATTATTAGTAGTTGACTTTGATAAAAAGCAATATGGAATTGTTAATGTATATGCTAAAAATAGCGAATCACAAAATACACATTTTGTTAGAGATGAATATAAAACAAGTCTTAGATTTTTTTGAAGCAAAGACAATTTTGCGAGGAGATTTTAATACTGTACCTAATGAATCTTTAGATACTGTAGATGGCCCCTAAGGGTTAATAGTAGTTTGGAGTCAGTGGAAAAACGTGTGTGTGGATTTTGGGGTAATTGATATTTGGAGATGTCTGAATCTGGGAGTAAGACAATTTTCATGGTGGAATCGTGATTTTCATTTTCAAAACAATCAAGATTTGATCTGTGGTTGACTTAGAAAGAATTAGAAAGTCTTTATTAATATGAGTCCAGCAGTTTTGACTGATCACAAAGGGATCTTTTTATCGGTTTGTACGTCTGGGCCTTTGAAACCTAAAAACCCAAATTATTGGAAGTTTAATAAGAATCTCTTGGGTGATGAAAAATTTGTTTAGGATGCTACTCTAATTATTAGAGTTACACTCTAAGGGATAAATCATTTTCTAGGAATTGGGAATTTATGAAGTTCAAAATAAGAACTTGCAGTTAAAAGAAGTAAAGGATTAGTTCATTCTAAAAGCATTAAAGAAGATACTATTATTAAAGATATACTTGATCTTGCTTTAACTGCAAATTATAATCAGGAAGTTCAGGATAAACTGGATTTGCTTCAGTTAGACCAGATTTATGAAGAGAAAGCAGGAGGTGTGTTTGTAAGATTGAGATGAAAATGGCTGGAAGAAGGAGAAAAATCTAAATATTTTTATAATTTAGAAAAAAAAAATCTGAGTTTAATTCGACCAAAAAAATAAATATTAATGGTACTATTTCAGATAATCCTAGAGACATAGCCTTTTACGTTGCTGATTTGTACAAAAAACGATATTCGGCAAGAAAAAATAATAACATCACTTTATTAACCCTTTACAATTTCTTGCATTAGGAATTATCTTTTCACCTACCCAGCTTGCTCTCCATGAGACACAGACAGGGAGAGAGCCTGGGGTCAGAGTGCAGGGTCAGTCATTGTACAGCACCCCTGGAGCAGTTGGGGTTAAGGGCCTTGCTCAGGATCCCAACAGAGTAGAATTCCTCTGCCAGCTGCAGGATTTGAACCGACAACCTTCAAGCCACAGGCGCAGATCCTGAGCCACAGAGCCACCGCTCCACCCTACAGGAAGAGCCTCAAAAGAGGTGCCTTTTTATCTTCTGTAAGAAATGTATAGATGAGGCATTTTGATCTTCTTGTGATCAACAGATTACAAAAAATGAAGTTAAGATTAATATTAATAAATTAAAAGATAATAAAGCCCCTGTGAATGATGGGTTAGGTAGTGAATTTCATAAGTTTTTTCAAGATAAATTGACCGATTTTTTTTATTTGATGTTTTTAATGAATCTATACAAAAGGAAGAAATGCCCCCCTCTTTAAATACAGGGAGTGATTTCTCTTATTCCCAAGCCCATTAAGGACAATTTAATCTTAGAAGACTGGAGGCCCATAACACTATTGAATAAAAGGTTTAGATCAGATTATTGATGAGACACAATCTGGGTTTATGAAAGGTAGACATATACAATAATATTCGTCTAATCTTGGATTTCATAGACTATAGTGATCTTATAGAAGATGACAGTTATATACTTTTTCTTGATTTTTATAAGGCTTTTGACACGGTAGAGCATAATTTTATTTTTAAATGTTTGGAATTTTTTGGTTTGGGTCAGTATTTTCAGAATGTGATCAAAACTATTTATAATGGTTGTAATAGTTCAGTTAACTTACATAGTGGGACTTCTCCAAGATTTGATATTGGTAGAGGTATTAGACTAGGATGCCCTATTTCTCTTTTTTGTTTTTATTAGTAACTCTAACTTTAACTCTTTATATTAATAATAGTGTTACAAAAGGTTTAAATATCATCAGCTTGCAGATAATACTACTATATTTCTTCAAGATAGTAGAGAGTTGGCTAAAGCAATAAAGACATAGGTACATTTTCTGTAGTGTCAGGATTATATCTAAATATTAATGCATGTGAATTATTCTCTCTTACAGAAGACATAGGTACATGTTCTGTAGTGTCAGGATTAT